GAACGGAGGACCGTGGGGAGGAACGGAGGACCGTGGGGAGGAACGGAGGACCGTGGGGAGGAACGGAGGACCGTGGGGAGGAACGGAGGACTTAAGAAGAAACAATGTTAGGAAAGACAGGGAAACAGGAAAACAGCATTGTAGAAGAAGACAGACTTGTGAGAGGCAATAAAGAATCCAGAATTGTGGGAGAAAGTGGAAGACTGTGGGAAAGTGAACTGAGAGAAGCAGACTATGGAGAGTACGGAAAATTGTGGGAGAGACAAGGCACTGCAGGACAAAGGGGATTATGGGAGAGAAGGATTTGCACAAGAGACAGGAGACTGTGGGTGAGACAAGGGATTATGGAAAACGAAGGAGAACTGTGGGACAGAAATGGAATCACGTGAACAAAGGGATTACAGAAGAAAGGGGGGAATTGTGCGAAAAGATGGATGATGAGAAAAACAGGGCGCTGTGGGAAAGGCAAAGATCATGGCAGCGAAAGGGGAATTGTGGGAATGAGAAAAGGTAACGAGAAAGAAAGGGGTATTAGGGAGAACAAAGGAAACGGTAGGAAAAAACGTATTATGGGAGAGACAGGCACTAGTGAGAACGGACAAGTGTGGGGGAGAATGAAGGATTGTGGGAGAGACAGGCAGTATTTTTTTTTTCCCGCTTGTTTAATTTAAAAAAAAAAACCAAACATTTTATTTGACACAGAGAGCACAAGCAGGGGGAGCAGCAGAGGGAGAGGGAGAGGGAGAAGCAGACTCCCCACCGAGCAGGGAGCCCGACTCCCTGGACCCTGGGATCACGACCTGAGCCAAAAGCAGACGCTCAACTGACTGAGCCACCCAGGCGCCCTGCTAATGTTTAAGTTTTTATTTAAATTCCAGTTAGTTAACACACAGCATAATATTAGATTCAAATGTACAATCTAGTGATTCAACACGTCTTTACAACACCTGGTGCTTATCACCACAAGCGCCCTCCTTAATCCCCATCATTATTTAATCCATTTCCCTCCACCTCCCCTCTGGAAACCATCAGTTTGTTCTCTAGAGTTATGAGTCTGTATCTGGATTTCTCACTCTTATTTTTTACCTTTGCTTATTTGTTTTGTTTCTTAAATTCCACATATGAGCAAAATCATATGGTATTTGTCTTTCTCTGATTTATTTCATTTAGCGTAATACTCTCTAGCTCCATCCATGTCATTGCAAATGGCAAGATTTCATTTTTTTTAATAGCTGAGTAATACTCCATTGCATCTTCTTTATCCATTCATCAGTCAGTGGACACTTGGGCTGTTTCCATGGTCTGGCTGTTGTAGATAACGCTGTTCTAAACGTCACAGTGCAAGTATCCCTCTGAATTAGTATTTTTATATACTTTGGGTAAATACCTAGTAGTGCAATTGCTGGATTACAGGGTAGTTCTATTTTTAACTTTTGGGAAAGCTCCATACTGAAAGACACTAAATTAAAAAATACTAATTTTCAAAGATGTATGCACCCCTGTGTTTACTGTAACATTATTTACGATAGCTAAATTATGGAAGCAACCCAACTACCCAACAGTACATGAATGGATAAAGAAGATGTGGTATATACATACAATGGAATATTATGCAGCCTTTAAGAGAGAATAAAATCTTACCATTTGCAACAACACAGATGGATCTAGAGAGTATAATGCTAAGTGAAACAAATCATGGAAAGACCAATAGCATGTGATTTCATTCACCGTGGAATTTAAGAAACAAAATAAACAAAGGAAAAAAAGAGACCAACAAAAACACCAGACTCTTAAATAGACGGAACTAGTGGTCACCAGAGGTGAGGTGGGTTGGGGGGATGGGTGAAGGACATTAGGAGCACACTTATGAGCACTAAAGTATAAAACTGCTGAATTAGTATATTATACACCTTAGGCTAACACTGTACACTATTCATGTTGCAATTTAAAAAATAATAAAAGCATTAAACAAAACTGTGGGAGA